AGATGCACACCCTGGGAGGCAGCAGGCGGTGGCTGCAGGATTTAGGCTCCCGTCACCTGTGTAGGAGACCTGGATGGAGTTTTGGGCACATGGATGGGGTCTCTCTGTCTCTCTGTCTCTGTCTCTTACATAAATAAAATGAATTTTAAAAATAACAGGAGGCTTACGTAAGACTCCATGTTTGCTTTTAGGGAAGGAAAACTCTAGGAGGCAGAGCCCTCTAAGAGCGGCTCTGCTTCAGGGGAGGGGCAGGCGGGGGGCAGCTGGAGCAGGAGGAAGGCTCTTCCCTGTGTAAGGGTAAGAGGGAGGGCGAACAGCAGGGAGGGGGCCAATCCAGCCAGGACCCAACCACTCCGCTCGGTCACACCACGTGGCCTGGCATCTGTGGCCGATGGCAAGAGGACACGGGCTTAAAAACGTCTCCCACACCCACCTGCTCTGGCTGTGATGGCGAGCCCCCACATGGAACGAGACGCCCTCGCTCTTTCCCGGTCCTCCGACTTGTCAGTCCATTAGAGCAAGTGCTGCCACCTTCAGAGGCCCCGTCTGCAGATAAGCAGTCAGGTGCGTGCCCTGCCCCGCGGAACGCCATGTGAACAGCTGTGCCGCGGGGCGCTGTTGCCCAAGGTGAAACCCAGGGTCGGCCAGCTGGTCGACACCTGGGAGCCCCACCCCTCAGCCCATGCTGGCTGTAGTGGGTCAAATGCACCACCTCCAGGCCCCAGGACTCGGCCCACACAAGCCCCTCAGGGGCATCAGGGGTCAAGATCGCGATCTCTTTTTGATCGCATTGTTTGTAACAGAAAATGCCGAAACAAAGCCGAGAAACCGGAAATGACCTAACCGACTGTCTACCGGAAAATGGATAAATAAAATTACATTCAAACAGTGGGATTTCACAGCCGTGGCAATGAATAAGCTGAAGACACGCATGTCAGCCGGGTGAGTCTCAGAAGCCTATGGTGGGAGAAATGTACAGCTGAACACGGAAGTGACGTTCAAAGCCAGGCAGAAACCAGCGCACCTGTGCGCGTAAGTAACAGAAACGACCGGAGACTGACCAACCCATTTAGATGGTTTAGGTGGTGGTTCCCTTGGCGTAAGGGTTAGGGTGTGAGGGAAGCAGACAAACAAAAACGGGCGAGGCATCCAAGGCAGCTGGACCGGGTCGCCTTTGCTGGAAAGGGTCCACACCTCCAGGTGTGCTGTAAGGTCACGGGCAGCCCTTTTATTGGACGCTGGTTCAAATCCCAGCTCCTCCACTTCCAATCCAGCTCCCTGCTAGGTGGCCTGGGAAAGCAGTGGAAGATGGCTCAAGTCCTTGGGCCCCTGCATCCATGTGGGAGGTCCCAGGTGAAGTTCCTGGCTCCTGGCTTCAGATCAGCCCAGCTCCAGCCGTTTCAGCCATGTGGGGAGAGAACCAGTGGATGGAAGATCTTTCCCTCTGCCTCTCAAATAAATAAAATAATCTTTAAAAAAACAAAACACAATTCCAAGGAAGCTGTCGTAGGATTCACTGTCCCTCACCTCCTGCTCCTTGGTGCTGGGTCCATCCCTCTGTCCCGTGCACTCGCTGTTTCACAGTTGGTCGCAAGTCTCTGTGCCATTTAATAACCGGATCTTTGATTGCAGGTACAGGTGCAGTGCAGAGAAAGGAGAAGCAAAGGTACCACCAGCGGTATTAACAGTTGCTGTTCACGGAGACACTATTAGTGCCAGGCATTACCAGACAATTAACACAACGCTGACGGTCATTTCAATATAGAAGTGATCGTCATCCCAGCTCTCAGAGGGACGGGGCCCACGGCCTTCCACCAGCGAGCGGCAGAGCCTGGCGTCTTGGACTCCATCACCAGCCTCAGGCTCAGCCGTGCTCATTCCACAGATTTCCTGAGCCTGGAAGTCTCAGCAGGTGCTGGAGACGCAGAGCTGGAAACGGCAGGCGGGGACCCTGTCCATACGGAAGAGAGAGCGAACAAGCCACCATGTCGGTAAAACCCGCGCGGATCTGACCCTCTGTGGGGTCCTGTCG